CGATTTGGTTCTAGAATACTTCTCATAGAATCTCTGGATCTCAATGACTTTGACATCTAGAATCTCCAATCATTTTTCATCGTTGAAATTCTTATAACTACACTTGACCGCTGAGATCTTCTCAATATAACAATAGCATTGGAATCCTGATGCAAAAGCTACCACAATTACCACTACTATTACTACTACATCTACTATTGCAATTGCCACACCATATTTGCAAGGCTGCACTAACATGCAGCTAGCATTAATTAGTGCAACAGCTTCAACAGTTTGTGCCAATTGATGACGAAGCTGCTATAACGTACAACATGCTTCTTAAAATGCGAGCCCACACGCCATCTCAATTTCTCAATGGCTTATTCTGTAATTCGCACTTCATGATCTATTTGATATTTCAATCCCATATGCGAACCAAGCGATTCAGCAACGGCATTATATTGCCCCTCACCTGAATTTCATGAAACAAATTCAAATTGACAAGATGCACTATACGCCTACATATGAAGAACTTGAATTCAGGCCCTGTTATTTCTTAATTACAAACAAGCAGCTGATGCCAAAAGCTCTGCCCGGCGCTTCTCGATCTTTCCAATAATGAATATATTCCGGTCAATCAAATCTGCGATGCACTTTGCGTTCTATTTGTCAATACGCGAAATTTGAAATTTCTTCGTCCCGGGCTTGCTGACAAGGGGACCGCTCGCAACGCCACGAGCAGTCTGATAATACACAAGATAAGATTTCCTGACCTTGTCATATTCTTATATGGCCATGAATTCATTCGGTTGTGAGATCATTTGAAAGAAAACCGCATTGCTACGCTGGAGCATTGCTGTCAAACCAAAAAGAGCCTTTAATGCCTAGATATAATATAAGCCCTGCTGCAGCCATGTAATGCGTTGCCACAGACAAAACAACAAATAAAATCTATTCAAAATGCCCATGCTCATAGTATAAAAAATAGCTTCAAGTCAAACTTCATATAATTCCTTGATCAAAAAAAGTAGCATCCCTCCTCCCCAAACCTGAACCTCAAATATGCCAGCTATATCTGTTGTTGATGCTGCGGACCTCCTATCCTCCATCTCGAAGTACACGGCCGCCGCAAGTGCACTGATTTATCTTCAATAGGGCAAAATAACAAATATGGCGATTGATATAACCTAGCGAGACGATCTTGAATTCGATGAAGTCCATTCGTAACTGCATCGAGGAGGAGGTCGTGGTAGAGGAAGTAGAACTCCCGCCACGCAGCACTATGACAACCCAATGCGTAATCAAGGATCTATCATTATAGGACTAAACCCTAATAACCAAAATAGAAAGAGAAAGCCAAAAGGTTGCGAAATACTAGATAGCACAAAAGCAGGAAAAGACAGAGCATAAGATCTAAGGTTGCCTCAAAAGGCAGGGCACAGGCGGGAAAGGGACTGAAATCCTAAGGGATTCCCAAGAGCAATAATGGTCTATTTGGCAATTGAAAGAATCAAGACTGTTATAGCAAAATTCTCATGAATTCAAATAATATCGCCGTAGTGGCGACTCAACAACAACTTCCTCCCATATACCATCCAAGCAAGAACAAATTCGTCAAATGGCTTCTGAAAACTATTAATCCAACCAAGTCGTGTCTACAGAGCTTCGACTGGGAGACGAGCCCTCTGGTCTCTCATGCCAAGATATTCCCAATATATATTATGCATATTCCCGATATATGGGATATATATTATTATCATTCATATACAGCTAGACTGCAGAATGCGCCTCTCAAAATAGCAAAGCAGTCAGCCGAGGCACCAGCTTCCTTTAACGCAAGCTTGCAGCGCCGCGAGCAGATCTCAATATTACGATACGTAGAAACATTATTGCGAGCAGATCTCTGCCAAACATTCCAGTAATGAGCGCGAAAACCCTCATATAATTGATGATACGCAATATCAGCGCTGATATTCTATGAAGCACTACATTTATTCAAAGATATAATCTCGTTTATAATACTATGCTCCCAATCCCAAAGACGAATATAATTTCATCTATAACGCTTCATCATCATTAAATCAGACCAGCCCAAGTTCCAATTCCAGAGCCCAGGGATGACTCTGGAGCGTTCCTTATCAAATATACGTCTGGCAGCGACAAAGGTCTCAAAGAGAGCACGGAAGTCAAAATGCAACCTGCGGCCGCGCAGCAAGTTGCGGAGATCAGGGCTGGCATAACGAGGCTCAACTAAAGCTCTCTTAATGGTATTTTGAATTTTATTATAAGCATGATTTGAGGTACCATCCAAACTCAGTCTGTGCGAGCGGGTCACTAGCAACAACCATGCGTTTCCCCCGCCAACGCACAGGCAGCAAAGCGGCACGGGACGTCAGGCTGACGACATCATCAATGCGAGAAATCTCTTTATCAGGTGCATATTAAATAAATAGTATAAATGATAAAAATATCGTACCGTATGAAGCTATCAAAAGCTATAGAATTTATAAATTTCAATCAAGTGATTCATATATTCCCCGTATTTGATAAGCTATGCCATTATTGCAGACCACGTCGTAAATACATTAGTCTTTTGCATATTTTTGCATAACAAAATATATTTTCCCATATATGGGTCTGCAACCACCACCATCATGACAATCACCATCAACAACAACATCAGTCAATGTATTGAGCCGTGGCCTCGCGTTTCAGCAAGATGTTGGCTGGCTTCACGTCCCGGTGCAGGATTTGCACGGCATGCAAAAACTGCAAGGCGTGCCACACCTGCACTCGCCAAAACATCTGAAGCGAGCCCCCGACTTGCCCTAAGCTGACCTCCACCAGCCAGCAGTTTCCCGGCGCTGGCACGCAATAAGAAGGCCTTCGGCATGGAAATGTGTGTTTCAACGACGTCGTGTCGTCTGCGGCTTACAATTGTTGAGCCATTTGTCTGAATTTCAAGCTCTTGTACTACCATGGTAGACTTGAATGAGATCGAACATAAACTGGAATGGCGTAATGCTTTGACGAATGCATCTGGGACAGGGGCGTTTACTCTAGGGTGCCTTTACTTGTCCACTTCATCCCCAAACCTCACATGGAGATGTCCTTGGAATGACCGGCTTTGCATGTACCCATAAGTTGCTGTGTGCTGACCTCTGATATGCCAGCCTTTTCGAATGGTTGAACAGACAAACCCTGTTGCAGGTCACCACACTTTTGGGAGGGGTTTATGCGGGCCACCGCGGTTGAGTAATCAGGGAGCTGTAATATCCGCAGAGGGCGGAGGGGTAGGATCGGCTTTTTGTTTTATTAAGTTTCTAGAGGGGCCAGGGGGAGTCTGGGTAGTCGCCTAGGTCGTGCGAGCACGCCGAAATGCAGCTGCAATCACTCATTTTATTATAAGCGCGTGGCGTGAGAGGGAAGAAGTAAGCGAAACAACAGCCACGAAACGGGCCGGGAATAAATGAAAACCTCTAGGTCAACTTACTGTAGACTCAGGCTGGCTCCATATAATTGACTTAGCTGGTGAACAATCTCAAGGTAGGTCAGTGTGATAGCCTAATACAAATAACCAGCCTCCAAGCCGTGGTATGAAAGAACTTTAAAGAGAACCAAAAGCACCTGACCACAATCCACCCCAGCGACGAAATGGAAGCCAGTGCAGAAAACTACACAACCACACATGGTAACATTGTGGTCCTTTTGGTCCAAAATACGATTCGGCTACTGATCTTTAGGGTATCCGAAACCCGGCTACCCAAACACTAGCGGGACCCTACAGGACCCATCATCTCAGGGTATAACAACCAAAAAAAAACTAGGAGCTTCTATGACTGGGGTTCCTTGGGCACCCTATGGGGATCTGCAGGGGAGGTACGTCGTTAAAAAGAAGACACCCACTGAATCCAGAAACCTATCTGGTTGATGTTGTTCAAACAACCGGTCCTCAAAATGGCCAGGTAGGCTCCCCATTTGGGTAGAATCCCCCTTGAGAGCCCAAATGCTGCGCATGCATTTTTTCGATAGACAACATCACAAGCTGACATCTGAACCGCAAAAAATACACCCATAACTACCTGTACAGGATTCAAGCCAGAACAAACGTATCTCTGCTCGATGCCCTTTACACTCCTATTGGTTGTTCCCTTGCCCAAAACAAGTTGACATCTCAATTGTGGTAGGAGATGGTAGGAGTATACATGGTCCCAGAAGTGTACAGGCGGCCACGCAGTTGCTCAGCTAGCGGTTCGGATTTGGGCTTGGGGTGCCATGATCCTGGCAGTTGAAGCTAGCCTGTACCTTTCAAAACTTGCTTTGATGTGCCTGACCTGCTGGGAGACAGTAGTCTTCCGCTCTGTTACCTACTGGTGGTGTCCCATCGCGATTGAAGACTTGTTCCACCTTGCTTGTCAGAATGCTTGTTGAGAATCATCAAACACTGCGATTTTGAAAGGCAGAAAAGTCTGAGCACACCAGATTTTCGAAACAGAATTGCATAGACATTCAACATGTGATTCCAGAAATGTTGTAGGCATTAGAGCCGAATCAGCGCTGCCACTTTGAAGCTCAACGCTCACAGCAGACTCAAAACACAACACGGAACCTGTGCCATCGTGGCCTGAAACTTGGAGAGCAGGGTTTACTACCATGGGCCAAAATTGAATCAGCAAGGTGGCCAAAGGGTACCTCCGCAATTGCATCGTGATGGCCTTCATGGCAGCCTGGCTTTTTAAGCGATGCGAAGCCTCTGAAGAGGGTCTATGCATACACGCAAAGACTAGCAAGGAGGTATAGCATCCAGAAAACATGGGCCCTTGGAGGACCTTGAAATGACAAATTTGCTGGCGATGCTTCGACATCAGCTAGTCAAGCAATCTGCGTGCTATGCACAGCCGCCCAAAGCATTCAATAGCAACCGGGCCTTGTAGATTCTAGATGACAGAAGTCGCCCTTTACAGTGTGACGGTGTACACTGGATTACAAATCATTCTGCGCACGGCCGTAGGTCCGCAAGATCACATCAAGGACTTGGGCTGCGCGGCCATCTTCTTGCACCACTGCCTGCAGAGGCTTCGGTGTTTTAAGCTATAGACTTTAGACCTTACAACCCTACGGCTTCCACACTTTTGAGATTTCAGTTGTTTTGCAGCGTTGCCTCACTAGCTTTGCCCAGTTGAGAATGCCAAAAAGCGCTCCAGCCACAATGGAAGCACCGATCAGCATGCTAGTGTAAGCATCAAGGCAGGTAGAATCAAAGCCGCCGGCGAGGATGAGCATGGACATCACCACCGTGGACGTTGAGCGCAGGAAATCGGCCATCACATGTAAGAGAGCTGTGAACATATTCACGGACCGGCCTCCGCCCTGCTTTCCTTTTAATTGCGCTGCTAAACTTGTGATTTGGGATGGTCATTTCAGAAACTTCCCTGTTTTCAATACTATCTGCTCCCTATGGGCAAAGAGCTACACAGTATCCTACGTTGCTGAACCAGGTTCGGTTGCTGTGGTAGAATGCCCAGAGGGATAAGATGTCAAAGATCACTCCCCCGATGCCAAAGGCCAGGGTAATGTATCCGTTGACGTCGTCTGGCTCTTCCGCTGCGGATGTGCCCCGGCAGGCTGCGATAGTTGCCATGCTCTCCCGAGACTCATCCCAGGTGAAATACAGCAAGCATCCCAAGGAAATCGCACAAACAATGATCTGCGAGCCCTCGTGGGGGCTCCCGTCCCGCTTCCTACACTCCACAAAGATATTTCCCATGTAAGTCAGTGCATCAACTCCCATGGAGATGCAGTCCATAAGCAGGGCCAGGGAGTTTGCAATCTTCGCAGCGAAAACCTGCACTACAGTGATCGTGGTGAATAAGAACGAAGTCAGAATCAGCGCCTTGATGTTGGGCGTAAGCCAGGATTCCTTGGTCACCAGCGGGGGTTCATAGACAAGAGGCTGGGTGAGTTGACGCATGCCTTCGCCGCGATAGGAGACGGCCAAATCGACGTCCGCAACCTCGGCCTCATCTTCGGACGATGTGGCTTCTGACTCGCTGGTCTCCACCTTCTCGACAATGTCTTTGCTAAACAATGTGGCCATTATGCGTTCGCTGGGCACAAGAAACGATGCTTGACCCGGCAACTAACAAAGCGCTGCTACCCAAAGTCTTGATCCTGTGTTTCTCTTGGCCTTTTCCTTAATCCATCCCCTAACGTAACACTCGAGAATGGAGCTGGGACGTAAACGCTGAGCACGACCTGGATTGCCAGAGCCAAAACATAAGGTGCAAGGCCAGAATGGCTGGATGAAATTCAAAGAGCCGCCCTCCCTCAAACTAACATGGAACCCCAAACAAGCCCTTACATGGACTACCCTTCCTTTGAAACAGTCTTATGACATGAAGGCTTCCTTATTTTTTTCGGGGTGGTTAAGGCCTAGAAACCCCCAAGCCAAGCGGCCGGGCCCATAAGAACGGGGCTGGGCAGACTTCACTGAAAAGCGGTGCAAACCACAAACCCCAATCCCTCAGCTCTTAAACCCAGAATCGTTATTCTCAAACCTAAATTCCTAACTCCTGATCCTAATTAGTTACTTTCTAAAACCTCGGCTCTAAGCCCCATACCCTTGAGCCTGAACCCTGACTCCTAAACCCTAAGCCCTTCAGTCTTTGCCCTAAGGGCCATTTTTGTACGACGTGGGGGATTTGGGGCTTAGAGCTCAGAGTTGGGGGTTTCAAAAATATCCATTCCCCTTAAACCTGTAGACAATAGCTTTGTTACCGATGTGTTGTTTTATTCATATTTCTTCGAGCTTGGGGCGGAAGACTCTACCCTAACCTCCGTTGGGCAGCTTGCAATGAAAATTTCACTACATGATCTATGTCACTGCATGTGTTCTTTCAAGACTTCTACCGTGTATCCTGCACGCGCGGAATTGCACTACTCAGTTGATTACAATGAATCCCAACAACGACCTGCGAAATGGCTTCTCGTTATTCTAGACGGATTATTCGACATGGCTACGATATTTGGTGTGTCGCATATGCTGGATGCATGATGATGTTTGCTACATGGCTGGCTCCGCGACTTGACAGGTTAACCGAACGAAGCAATGATTTTCTCGACCTCGCCTTTTTTGACAAAGCTTCCTTCAACATGCCTAATTGACGTCAATCACGGGCCCTCTGTTCATTTAAGCTATCTTATCGTGGCCAGAATTATCAGAGGCAAGACACAACAACTGTGATGAGGCTCGTCTGGACCGCTTGTGAATGAGCACCAACCTCAGGGCCTTTGTCAGGCCTGGTAGGCTACGGCTAGATCAAAACAATCAATCCCTACAGTAACCAAGCCCTGTGCCTGCAAAAGCACTGTATGTGCTCATGCCCTGCCGCACGTGCCAACGCCCTGCCCCTGAAGATCCTCTTTTCAACAGACACGCGTTGCACTGCAGGTCAGGCCCAGGTACTTTCAAACAGCCAGCCACCTTTCTTTCCAAAGGGTAAACTTTGCCAACACACCCTGCATTGGGCAGTCCCTCTTCTGGCATCTAGCGAGCGCTTGCCGGAAAGGACCGTGCCAATTCTCATGCATCAAACCTTGATGCATTCCTGCCAAGATGTGCGAACCTGAGACAAAGCAGTCAACCCAGAGATTTGCGAACGTGGCGGCTTTGGGCCGTAAGACCTGGCTTGGAAGCTATTAAGCACTACAGACTGTACGCAAAAGACGTGTCAGCTACTAAGGGTAAACGTCGCAAGGAGCAGCAGAAGAGCTGCATAAGTTGTAGAAGTGACCTCGAACATAACTGCCACGCTCGGTTGGAGATGCTTCTTGAAGGAGTCTTGCGGCAGCTTGCTCCATCGCAACACAAGATACTGACCGCAGCTTGTTGTAGCCGGGAATCTGGGAGCAAGGCGCGGCATGGTAAGGTAGATTCAAACATGAACATTTGGTAAACCTAAACCTGTAATGCTGTCATTATGAAGTGCGTATACTTATGTCGTTGCCTTTCAAGCTGATCACATCACGCGAGGGGGCTGCAATCACGGCACTTCGCATGTCTAGAGCACAGGTGTTATCCGTTATCCTGGCTCACATCCACAGCATGCCTCGCTCTGAGCATCCTGAGCTCTGGTGCGGGGCGCACGCCGGCATTGGGGCATGGCCAGTCGGAGTGGCCAAATTGAGCCCAAAGCTTTAAACTTTGAGACTGGCCTTGGAACACTGCAGCAGCTGCACCTCTCAGCGAGCGACAGAGCGAGCAGCACACAACTTTGCAAATCCTCTGGCAGCGACAGCTAACGACAAGGGATGTGTCACCTGCAAGGACACCCGGAAGCAGAAAGCTTGCAAATCCTGCGCTCGCTATAGCCAACACTGCTTCCACATCACGTGCGTGGTTGTGCGCGGGAGGAACCCTCATGCTTAGCCATGTCACCAGGGGCCCGCAATGGGCTTACCGCTAGCACACCTTCTGCAAAGCTAGTGGACCACCAAAATCCGAAACCAACTTTGGCGAAGGGAGGCGACTTCGTTGAATGAAAGAACAAGGTTTACAAAGCTGTGCCTCCGGAGTGTGAGATTATTCCATTCCTCTTATCTAGATCTCGCACCCAGCGGAGCTGACCAACAGCGACCCCAATCAAGCCTCGAGGAAGGGGGAGAACCTTTGACGAAGGGACAAGGTTTCGGCGAAGCCTGGGGGACTTAAACAAGCTTTTCTTTTTTCCCCTGTCGGGGACCAAGCATACTTTGAGACCCATCGGCTTGTAATGCCAGTTTTGAGCAAGCAGGGCCTGCAGTGCCAATAGTTGGCCTGGAGTGCCCAGCTGGCAATATTTCATTTTGGCTTGGCACGAGCTACGAACTCGGGATGTCGACGCAAGGCATGGTGTGTACGTTCTGCTGTTGTAGTTGGGCAAGGCTGCCCTGGGTGCACAGAAGATGGAGGATCATCCGATGGCGCGGGCATGGCATGTTGTTTTTGAGTAGGCGGGCATGGCATGTTGTTTTTGAGTGGGGGATTATATAGGGTAATATTGGGGGTTATATAGGGGATCCTATATGTTGGTGATGGCAGTGCCAGGCCTATAGGGCCAGAAGCAGCTCCATTATGGCTTCTACGGTGACGCTTTTTAAACATCCGGACACGTAAACGACCGAACAGGTACATTAAAATTATACTACCTCCGCAAAGCATGGC